ACAGTATTTATTAATTAACTATGGTATTTATTTAATTAAATATCATAATTAATAAAAAATAATATTATAGAAAATACATCTAATTTTGTGAAATAATTAAATAAATACCATAATTAATTACTAATTAATTATACCAAAATACCGTTAATTAGTTAATAGTACTTTCATAAATATTATTTATTAATTAAATAAATAAATACCACAATTAATAACAAAAATATCATTAAAAAATATCATAATTAGTTACGGAATTTATTTATTTATTTTAGGTATTTTGGTAAATTTTGGTAAGCTTAAGGGGGTATTTTAGTCAAATTGAGCCTAAGGAGGTCAAAACAAAATTCTAATCTAACGGTGGGTATTTTGGTTTAATAAAATGAAGGGTGAAGATGGATTTGAGTATATATACAGTGGTTTTGCGTATACGGGCCAATGAGATTGGACAAAATATAATCTTTTTATATGGAGGGCAAACAAGGGTATTTTTGGCTAAAATTTTAATAGGGCGTGGTTTTTAGGCATTTTGAATCGATTGGTGGGGTCAAATTGGCATAAATAGGCTCGAATTAGGCAGATCTAGATGGGTAGTGATTCAGTTAATTTATTAACTTTGAAACAGAATCTTAGTGTGATTGAGGGGAAAATGAGGGAATTTTTTGTTGAAATCTGGTAGGGTGGTGTTTTTGAGCATTATGGGTTGATTATTTGGGTCAAATTGGCCCAATTATGCTGAGATTAGGCAGATTTGGAAAGGACTTGATCCTTGAAAATGCATATTTTCTAAAACAGGGAATGTGATTCCTAGATGAGGGAAGAGGAAATTTTTGAAATTTCGCCCAACCAACCTGCAGGGTTCGGCCATCCATATGATGGATCTCTAATCCCTTAATCTTTGACAGAGAGAAGAGAGAACTCTATCTCTAAACGGATGAGCCCTACCTTCGTGCCTTCGGCTTCCTTTATCTTCATCACCGACCGCCATTGCTGTAGCCCACGGTTGTCGTCAGAACCCTAGCTTTGTGCCTTCTCAAGTGACAGAGAAGAGATACTAAAAGAAAAGGTTCAGTTCTTTAATCTTCCATCAACCTTTGTCTATCGCCGCCGACCACCGTCACCGTCACCGTCACCCGTCGGACTCTCTCTCGTCACCAACCTCAACTCACACAATGGTCCTCTCTCTCTCTCTCTCTTAGTCTCAATCTCTCTGTCTCAGACTCTTAGTCTTTCTCTCAACTTTGATTGATTTCCATTATATTCTAGAATCTAGAAAATAAATTCTAATATAGTTCAGACTTCAGATAGAATGCCTAGAATGTAGTATTCAAATCAGTATGAGCCAAACCCAAATGAAATGCTCAAATGCAGTATGAGTCGAACCCTGAAATGCAGTATGCTATATGAGGCTATGAGCCAAACCCAAATGAATAATCACCCTTCAAATCTCCCTGAAATGTAGTATGACAACGGAACCTATGGGTCAAACTCAAATGAATGTGTTTTTGTTTCTTCTAATGAATGTGTCATTTCTCATAACATTTTTCTTATCACCTCATAGCCAAGCTAGGGTTAATGATTGCACATTCAGCATGTAGCCAATGCATCTGTGAATCCTAACTTATATGTTAAAGATTGCAATAACCATTTGGAAATGATCCATCAAAGCTTCAACCTCTCTATCTTTGTTGTATTGTTGGGGATAAGCTGGTACCGGTAGTGGCTTGTCAATAGCGTGCCTCAATGCATCTCTCTTTTTCCTTTCCTCATTAAGCTTATGTTTGTGTTTTTGCATTTGATATTTTGATATAAGTTGGTAGTGATATTCAATAATTGAAGGTCAACATATTCAGATATACTTATTAGTTAATTCATGTTTGGTGTTTTTTTTTTTAGATTTATAATTGATGGGATTTTTTGCCTTTTATTTCTCCAGTTTTAAAACATGGAAACTTAAGATGAAAGTTCTAAATCAGGGACATCTATTGGGAGCAATCAATCTGCAATTGGAGTTGAACTTGAACACTCTCAAACTCCAGCTTTATCAACTCCAATTGGTTCTCCACGTGAGTCACCCGTTCAAAATTCTAATGAAATTTTGGTTGATGATTAAGACTCACCTAATCAAGCCCCCGACCCCGATGCTAACGTTGGTGTAAAAAGGAAATTAACAAATGTTGTTTGGAATCATTTCAAAAAGATAAAAGTAAATGGGGAGGATAAGGCTGAGTGTAATTATTGTCATAAAAAGCTTGAAGGCAATAGTAAAAATGGGACAACTCATTTGCATGACCATTATAAGACTTGTCCAAGAATGTGTTATAAAGGTATAAGGCAACATGTTCTAGAAAAAGAATAGAGAAAGGCTAGTGAGAAAGTTTGTGTTAATAATTATCAGGTTGATCAAGATGCTTTAAGGAAAGACCTACCCACCATGATAATTTTACATAAATACCCACTTTCAATGGTTGAACATTGTGGATTTAGGAAATACACAACTGATCTTCAACCTCTGTTTTAAGGTTCCTTCTCAGAATACTATCAAAAGTGATATCTTGAAAATATATGACTATGAAAAATAAAAAACATTGCACTTTTTGGAGAAGAATCCTAGTATGGTTGCAATAATTACTAATATGTGGATAACTAACAACCAAAAAAAGGTTTTATGGCTATCACGATGCATTTCATTGATGATAGCTAAGAGATGCAAAGTCGGATTATGAGGTATTTAGTTTTCAATATGTTTCTTTAAAATTTAATTTTCTTAGTACATTGTCAAAGGTTTTTTTTTCATATTATTAGTAATTTGATTTTAAAACAAATATTTGAGATTTGCTCTTACTAGTAAATCAATGTTGCATTTTTAGGTTTGTTTATGTGCCTTGTCCACACACTTCGGAAGCACTTTCTAATGTTTTAGTGGATTGCATGATGGATTGGAATATTGATAGGAAGTTGTCGACAATGACAGTTGATAATTGCTCTACTAATGATTCCCTCGTTGAGATTATCTTGAATAAGCTTAACACTAGTGCACTTATGTTAGATGGAAAATTGTTTCACATGTGTTGTTATGCTCATATTCTCAACTTGATTGTCCAAGATGGTTTGGGGATCATTGGAGGAGGCATAGAAAGGGTTAGTGATGAACATGCAATTTATCTATAATTTATGAGGTCTTTGCATGGATTATTATGTTAGTTTTATTTAATTTTGCCCTGATTTAGTTTAATGATAAGAAAAGATTTTAGGGGTAATTAATCCAAGAAAAAGAAAGAAAAAAGGCAAGAAAAGAATGTTCAAAAAGATCAATTTCAGCGCAACCCGGTTGTGAAAGCAAGAGGTAGCACTTCGGCCCAAAAAGAACAAGTTGATTCCTTGAAAAAACCCAAGAAAAGAAAGCCTAGCAAACAGTAAAATTCAGCCCAATAGAGAAGGCCCATTCTCAGCCCAAAAGAGCAGCCTAGAGTGTAGCTATCATGTGCTAAGAGGGAGCCTAAGTGCAGCCCAAATAGCAGCACTCTTAGAAGGCTTTCAAGAGAACTCTAGAAAGTTCAAGAAGGGGCAAGAGCCCCTTGAAAATCTATATAAGGAGGCCTCTAGAAGGGGGGAAGGTGTTCAATTGCTTGAGAGAAAGGCTCTCTCACTCCTAGAGGTTCGAACTCCTTGAAAAGAATGAAGAGAATAAGGCCTAGGCGCAAGGAAGAAGAAGAAGAAGGGGCTGAAGGAGTTCAAGTCAAACTAGCAAAAAGAGAATGTGAGTTCGAAATTGGGGGTTTTTGATTCAGAGATCTACTGTAATCATTCTATTCTGGTTTCATTTTCCTTTGATTTGAATTCAGCTTCCTTCTTGTAAATTTTTCTTTCTCCCTCTTCCATTCTTTCTTGATGTATTTCAGTTTGTAAAATTTCATAACAGCAATCAAATTCTCTTTGATTCATTCGAATGGTTGTGAATTGTACTTGAAGTTTCTTAAATAGGGGTTGAAGTGTAGATTAATTCTGCCAATTAACTTTCAAAACTCAGATCTGAATTCTCAGGTCTAAGATTGCAAGATCTGAATTACTTGAAAGAGAATTCAGATCTGCAAATTTCAGATTGGCCAAATTAATCTAAAGCTTGGAATTCTTAGAGTGCTTGAGAAAGACTCTAGGAATTCAGATCTACTATTCAAGAACTGAATTGGATGCAATATTAGAGATAACTTGCACAATTCAGTTGCTGATCAATTCAAATTTGAATTGATGCCTTAGAAGTGTTTGAAAAAATGCATGCATGGGGATTAGATTATTGCTAAAGATAGAAGAACCGCCACTCATGCATAGGATGAACAGTTAGAAATAGTTTGGCTTTTTGGGTAACATCACCCAAAAGAGAGCAAGCTTTTAGAGAAATAGCACATTAGTTGCAAATTTCAAGTTCAAAAAGAAAATGGTTCTGGATTATAAGACCCAATGGAACTCAACATACTTGATGCTTAGTGTTGCTTAAATTTATAAAGATGTGTTTCATCGGTTGAAACAACGAAATCCTTTGTATAAATGTTTGCCAACTAATAAGGGTTGGGATTTAGCTAAAGAGATTTGTAAGAGGTTGCAAGTATTTTATAATGTGATTGGAATATTTTATGGGACTAAATATCCAACGGCAAATAAGTTATTTCCATTGATTTTTGATATTAGGCTTTCATTATCTTAGTGGCTCTCATGTTCTAATGAAATTATTAGAATAATGGCATCAAGTATGTTGGCTAAATTTGACAAGTATTGGTGCATCATTCATGGAGTAATGGTTGTAGCATGTGTTTTGGATCCAAATTTCAAGTTGAAGCTATTAGAGTATTTCTTTCCTAAAACTTTATGAAAGTTTTGCTTCAAATGAAATTATGAGGATTCGTCAACTTCGTTGTGATTTACTCAATGGATATCAATTAAGATCTAACTTTAGCAAGAATACTCATCAATGAAAGGGAATCTCTTCATCTTCATCTCATTGTCCAACAATGAATGATTCTATAGATTCCAATTTTCTTTGTGGATATGATTCATTTATTAATGATTCTGATGATATGACGATGAAATCTGAATTGGATCATTATTTAGAGGAGAAAGTTTTGCCAAGAGATCCAGATTTTGATATATTGGCTTGGTGGAAGTCCAATGGAATCAAATATCCAACATTGGAGAAGATTGCGAGGGACATTTTAGCTATTCCCATTTCAACTATGGCTTCCGAGTCTGTTTTCAATACCGGTGGTAGATTGGTGAGTCCTCATCGTAGTAGACTTCATGTTGAAACTTTGGAAGCATTAATGTGTGCCCAAAATTGGTTATTGAAGCAAGTACAAGGTATTGGAATTAATATTATAAACCATTAGTTTTCTTTGATTTATATCTAATTTGATGCCTTTAATTTTATTTTATTGTCTTTTCTTTTTAGGTGTTCATTCGAAAGTTACAGATGCATATTACCGCACAATTGAATATGATTCTGATGTTGAAGAGGTAATAAATATGTTTCTTAATTTGATTATTGATGTTCATGAATTTTGTGATTCTTATTTATATTTGTAATTGATAATTACTTTAATTTTTGTAAGAAAGTGTCGTGACAAGTCAATCTCAATCAAGTCAGACTACTTGAATGTTTAATGATGACATGATAAACCATGAATGGGTTGTTTTGAAGTTAAACTATTTTTTATTTAGTACATTTTACTTGGTATTGAATGTTGGACAAATTTTAATTTCAATGTTGGTGGTGTTGAATCTCTCTCTCTCTCTCCATTAACACATTAACACCATTTGTAGGTTGGTCAGTTGGTCTTTTTTTTCCTATTTTTTCATGGTTGGTGTATTCAAATTTCAGAAACCAAACTATTGTTCAGCATTCTCTTTGTTTCTCTTGTCAGGTAATCACCACCCTTGTGTTCTATCTTTATTTCAGTGTAAGAGGAAATTTCAGTGACTATTTATGGTGGTTTGGATGTAGTTTTGCAACTCAAACAGGTTGGAGTTTGTTAGTTGTCATTGTTCTAAGCGAAGATATTATTCCTTATATACTTACCTTCCTCCTGTTTTTGACTTGTATGCATGTGTAAAATCGATTAATGTTGCTAAACACGTTCTGGTAGTGATTTTCTTCTTGAATTGCTTAATTTCCCATGCTGCCATTTAATTTCTTCATAGAGTTTTCCTTGAAGCTCTCTGTTTGAGATTTCTATGGGTCATCTTAGGAAATGCCAATTAATTGTAGTTTGTTATTCTCTAGTTCATGTAACTGTTTTAATTACTATATTTTGTGGCTTTTCATTTTTTGCCTATCGTAATGATGGTTTTTCCTATTCCTATTATTTCACTACTTCATCTCCTTTCCGTGGTGGTAGGAAGTTGAGGATAAAGAAAGCAATCAAAGTTCTTGTTGTAAGTAGCAAGTTAGCATATATACCTTAAGATGATTTGACAATTTCTTATGGAGAAAATGCAGACAAAAGCCCATTAAAGGATCTCCATATCCAAGGTATGTCAGTATTTCTCATCAGTCCTCCCTTAATTGAATTCTTCTATGATAAAAGGGATTGTTGGGTGTAGCATTTTGTTGCCATTTCATAAGCATATACCTTAGTTAACATCAACAAAAGGAATTTACATGTCATCCAGGACAAGGAGAGATGATCCTCTCTACTCTTATATGCTTCCTATCTTTTAGATTTTCATATATAAAGTTGGGTATCTTCAATTGTTATATATTATGTGTCATCCACCAAATGGATGCATGGAAGACTTGATCATGGAATATATAAGTTTAGTTGACAAAGAAACTATTAATATTTTATATTTCTGCTTCTTATATATATAATGGTAAGATTCCAGAGTGAGGCCTACAAGCTAATATCCCCAACATTCAATGTTTAAGGTCTACTTTGGAAGGTTAAATATTCTTTAGTTAGTCTTGTTTTTAATGTATCTCACTGGTTAATGGATCATTGACGGATGCTAGCCTCTTGACAATGAGTTTTGTTGTTCATGGGCCCAACTCTTGAATGGGGTAGACCTTAACTCTTCAAATTTCAGTTCTAAATCTGAATACTACGCTCCTCCAGTTGATACTATAGTGGGTGTACAATCTGATTGAACATGGGCGCTCAGAACATGCTTAGAAATCAATCTATTTGCTTGGGCTGGTTACATACTCACCCAAGCTTAGACTTTTTCTACAGACGATCGGAGTAAGGCAATAGGAAACATACATTGATGTGGCATATCCAAGACAAGGAATAATAGATACACTCTAGTTCATCGGAGATTCGGGTCTTCGACGGGGAATTCATCCCCATCGGGGTCGGGGGATGGAGGGGGGATTCCTTTCCCCGCCGGGGATCAGGGACGGGGATGGGGGGTCGAGGTCAGGGATGGGGAATGTAATCCCCGCCCCGAACCCACCCTATTGTCATTCCTAAGTTAAAGCAACAATTCTTTACATTTTCGTAACACAAAGAACTTCGGAACCGACACATAACACCTTAGCACCACATATGTAACGACTTCAGATACACCTTGCCTACCTTAACTATACCAGTACCATCTTGGTAGGGCCGACCTACAGACACCTCGACAGGGTCAGGTCGGTGACCTCGGAACTAAGGTAGAGACCTTGGCATGAGGAGCGATCTCTCGACACCGACCTAACTGAGGCCTGGTTGGTCGTTGGCGACCTCCATGACATGGAGGCCGACCACCATTACGTGTGGGCTATCATCTTCGAAACGTCTAGAATCACATCGCCACATCGACGAAACTGATTCCCACCCCACCCACTTTAGAGGAAACTGGAAAAACTCTATCGCTTTACACGGAAGCCATCACTGAGCATGAAACCACCTCCAAGTGAGACGAATTGGTAAGCCACGTCCTCTCGAAGATCTCGGATGCGCTACGTGAAATCCACGGCAACCAACCAGTTGGTAGTTAACTAAGAGAATAATAGTACGAGGCCCGGGAGCCCTCCATGTTAGCTTACTTAGCTAAGGTTAAAGAGCTCCTCCTGAACTTCCGTTCCTAGTATATCCAGCAGATTCTAAGGTCTGAGAAAGCCAAGGCTGACGCGCTTTCTAAGCTGACCAGTGCGACGAACACAACTCGAAGGAGCGTCTACATCGAAGACCTGCCGTGTCTGAGCATTGAGAAGGTGGCAAAGGGGGTCACACCTGTCATGGCAGCAGAACCGAGCTGGATAAATTCGCCAGTCGATTATCTGCGCTATGGGACCCTACTAGAAGACTGCATGGAGGGTAGAGCGGTAGTTAGTTCGCTACATGATCATCGACGAGTAGCTGTACAATAGGTTGTTCATGATCCCCTACCTGTATTGCTTACGGCCTACCGAGGCAAACCAAGTGCTACGAGAGATCCACAAAGGACTCTATGGCAGACATTTGGGGGGTAGGGTGCTTTTGGCATACAATAAAGGCAAATGCTACACAATCGTGCAGAAGTGTGATAAATGTCAGTGGCACACTAACATACCCCATCAGCCCATAGCCGACCTGACATACTTGACCAGCTCGTAATCGTTCGCACAGTGGGGATTGACATACTTGGTCCCTTCCCGCAGTAACCAGGTAGAGAAGGTTCTTGGTTGTTGCAATGGATTACTTTGCTAAGTTTATCCCGAGCTAAAGGCTTGTGCATGGACAAGCTAACTAGTGTACTATGGGCATACGGAACAACGATTAGGAAGGCAATAGGCGAGACCCCATCAATCGGATCAGCTTAAAATATCAATTACAAATATGAATTAACATCCATCATGGTTTGCATAATAGAAAGAAAGAAAGATTCAACAAGAAGAACCCTAATTGAATCTAGGTTACCGAATTCGCAGAACCAAAGAAGAAGACAGCATAGGAATTTTGCATCAATCTTCGTTCTCCTCTCCAATTCGCCTTCAGCAGCCTTGTGATCCTTCTCCTAGCACTTCTCCTCTTCGTTCTTGTGTCAAGGGGTCGAACCCTAATTTCCTCTCTTTCTTTTTCTTTTATACCTTTCTTTGCAGCCTTTGGATTAGAGTCCTCCTTTCTAATTCTGCTAAAGTCAGCCGCCTTTTTGGAGCCTCCCATAGGGCTGCGGTTGGGCCTTTCTCCTTAGTGGGCCAAAGTCCTCCCCTTGGTTCCATATCACCATGTATTATGTTCTCTTAACTCTAAATTGTTTCAAATTCCCAATTTCTTGAAATTCAGCTTAATTAGGAAAAAAACCATTAAGAATCATCATCAAAACCATGTATAAAGCAATAAAAATAATGTGTAGCATTCGCGCACATCAAACACCCCCACACTTAAGCTTTTGCTTGTCCTCAAGCAATAATAATACTCATAAACTGATCATTCCCCAGATTATTTCCCTCTATCGCATGAATTTTAGGATGAGAATGCGTTAAGTGATCGGAAATCCTGCATAAGCATTCTGATTCATCCCCATGATTGGCCACTCTTACCACATACATAAGAGCAAAAGAAGGGGAGAACATGAGATTCTTCATGCTCCAGCACTCAATTCCGTTCAATATATATAGCAGTTCCTTGACCGCCATAACTAACCATCACCTCGAGCTTGGTCTCCAATCCTGTCAATGCACTAAATAAAATGTCCAACCATATTTTTGTCCCCTTGAACCCCAGTCGTTACTGAACTCTCTTCTTTTTTTTTGTGTGAGTGCATTTTATGATTCATCTCACACGGGTCACAGGCTAGAGGCAGATGACAATACTCATATTCCAAGTTGCTAATTTTACTATTCAACTTGGAATAGCGGAGTTGGAACTGAACTCATATCATAAACCGCTAGTTTTACTATTCAGTTCATGACAGCGGAGTAATTCGGACTTTGTCCTTTCTTCACCTCTTTTTTTTTAATCACTTGTTGAAATTCATGATGAATTTCGACTTCCTCATCCTCATGTATTGTGATAAAATTGGATAAATCATAGGAACAAATTCTAGCACTTCATCGTATTCTCTCTCGGAATTCACCTTATAGACAGCAATAATATTGAGGAGATTACCAGTTTATGCAGCCTATCAATGCATTTATGTATTGGGGTGATTGAGGTGCATAGCTATAGCCTCCCCCACACTTATCATGAACATTGCCCTCAATGTTCGTATGGATAGAATGCAAAGATGGTTTCAGCAATGTGGACAGTGCGACTTCAAGCATCTGAGGGGATTTAGAGAACTTCCCTGAAAAGCCTTCGGAAATCTGAAGTGGCTCCTTCGTTTGAACCCTCTAGCAGCTAAGGATCAAAAGAAACTAGGAGGAGAGAATGGCAAGCAACTAGGGATGATCAACTCTCAATGAAATCAAGACCCAAAAATCAGATAAAAGAAAAAAAAACTCAATATGATACGGAAAGAAAAGAAAGAAAAGAAAAGAAGAAGAAAAAAACTACTTATCGACATTGGGTTGCCTCCCAATAAGCGCTTGTTTTCTATCTGAAGCCCGACATTCCAGTGTGATCAATAAACATCTAGGTATACAGTTGATGGGCTAGGCAATGCTCCATCCGCTATATATGGTTTGAGGTGCTAACCGTTGACCTTAAAACACCCACCAACCACATAGTCAATGACATCTATCATATAACATGAATCATCACTAGAAGGTGCATGTTTCATAGCACCAAACATTTTAAAAATTACTTCCTCATCTTGAATCTTAAAGCTGAGTTGCCCTTGTTGGACATCAATCATTGCATTTCCTATAGCTAGGAAGGGTCGTCCTAGGAAAAATGGGACATCAATGTCCTCTTCCATTTCTAACACTATGAAATCCATGGGAAAAATAAATTTGTCAACCTTAACAAGTACATCTTCTATGATTCCCCTAGGATGCTTGATGGACCTATCAGCTAATTGCAATGCAACTCTAGTGGGTTGGGGTTCACCCAGCCCTAAATTCTGAAAAACCGAATAGGGCATTAGATTTATTCTAGCTCCTAAATCACACAATGCCTTATTAATCTTTAAACTGCCTATAGTGCAAGGAATAGTAAAACTCCCTGGATCTTTCAGTTTCTGAGACAGCTTGTTAAGGAGGATTGCTGAGCATTCATCATTCAATGCAATTGTAGCCACGTCTCCCATTTCCTTTTGTTCGCCAAGATTTCCTTAAGGAACTTTGCATAATGCGGAATTTGGGCTAAGGCATCTGCAAAAGGAATGTTAATATGTAAACTCTTGAAAATTTCAAGGAACTTACCGAATTCCTTTTCCATTTTGTGTCGCTTAAGCCTATTGGGAAATGGCACGAGGCTTTTGTCTTGTCTCTTTCCTTGAATTAGACTGCTCTTCCTCCTTCTTTTCGATTTCTAGGGTTGCGCCCATCTTACCTTCTTCCTTTGTTTTCTTCTCCACCTCTTGCAGCTCCTTACCACTCCTCAAGGTAATGGCTTGCACTTGTTCTCTTGGATTCGCTTTTGTGTTGTTGGGTAAGGTACCTTGAACTCTAGAGGATAGCATATGTGCCAACTACCCCACTTGAGTCTCTAAATTCTTGATCGATGCCTCTTGATTCTGAAATCTCATTTCCGCATTTAATATGAACTTAGTCATCAGCTCCTCTAGATTGGATTTCTTTTCTGGTTGAGCGAAGTTTTGAGGGGAGGGGTTTCACCGCATTTTGATTTGACCAAGGCAGATTGGGGTGATTCCTCCATCCGGGGTTAAAGGCACGAGGATAGTGATTTCCTTGCTACCTTTGCAAATTTCCTACGAAATACACTTGCTCAGGGGACTGCATGAACTGATTTCCAACTTGGCATCCTGTGCTGATATGACCTCCCCCACACCATTCATAGGCTACGGCTTGAACATGCATGGCTGCCAACTGCATTTCATCAATCTTCTTGCTGAGGGTGCCGATTTGTGCAGATAGTGTTGTATAGGTGTCTACATTGTGAAGGYCGGGTTGTCTCCTAACTTGGGCTCTCTCGGAATGCCACTGATAATTATTTGCAACCATTTCCTCAATAAGTGCATGGGCAATTTCAGGGGTCTTGTTATTAATGGATCCCTCAGCTGCAGCGTCCATAATGGTCTTGTTTGCTTCAGTCAATCCGTTGTAGAACGTCTGAACTTGGAGCCATACGGGAAGTCCATGATGAGGGACCTTCCTCAGTAATTCCTTTTAACGCTCCCATGACTCGTACAATGATTCCACGTCCTGCTGAGAGAAAGTGGTGATATCATTCCGCATCTTTGTAGTCTTGGACGGAGGGAAATACTTGGATAGGAAGCGGCTGGCCATTTCATCCCAAGTTGCGATCGATCCAGCTGGTAGAGAGTTCAGCCAAGTCTTAGCCTTGTCCTTCAACGAAAACGAAAATAATCTGAGCCTCACAGCATCATCACTAACTCTGTTGTGCTTGAATGTGTCACATATCTCCAAGAAGTTGGCGATGTGAGTGTTCGGATCCTCATTAGCCAAGCCGCAGAACTGAACTGTGTTCTGGATCATCTGAATGATTGCTGGTTTGATATCAAAGTTGTTAGCAGCTATTGTTGGTCTCACAATGCTCGAGGCTGCCTTGGTGAGGGTTGGTTTGGCATTGTCCATCAAAGTCCTTTGCTCGGCCATCTTTGTACTTTCAGCTTTCCCTTGCTAAGAAGCTCTAAGGCGACGGTGGCGAGTCCGTTCAATCTCTGGATCGTAGATGATGCTCTCATTTCCACTTCTACGTGTCATAAACTGAACAAGTCAAAGTCATAAAGATACTAATAAACACATATCATGAACATATTGTACAAAATCAGATTAACAACAGAATGTGGTTCCTAATATTGTTGTGATAATCCCCGGCAACGGCGCCAAAAAACTTGATGCGTTTAAATTACACTAGCAAGTGCACTGGCCGATCAAGTAATATACTGATGAGTAGATTATCATTCCCATAGGGATTAATCCAACAACTACTAGTACTAAATCAGCCTTTTGTTATTTGACGATCTGAAAGGTTAAACAAAGAAAAACTTAACTCCTACTTAGCAAATTATCCTAGGTATTCTCGGATCAAATCGCCTTTAGTAATGAGAAAAAGTGCTTCACGAAAATACTAGCAGAACTGGTTCAGCAATTATACCATTAAGCTATCCAACCAAAGTTGAATTCAGTCATGGGTTGGCTAATTCCTAATTGCATGAGCAACCTCTTTCGACCACAGCCCACTCTATCTATGAGCAACAACTCTTATATTTCTATCAAGAATTTAATCGCCATAGATGCATTAAGGACAAAGGATTCGAAGGAAACCAATTCTTGCTGAATGAATGCCAAACGAATCATGCATTTTATCTCTAATATACATTAAATCCGTTTTCTTGAATTCGAAGCACTTTCTAATGTTTAAGTAATCCAAGAAACAAGAACAGTTCGGCCAAAATTACTCTTATAATCGAAAACCCTAATCAAGAAATCCCAAGACTAAATCACTATCAACCGGATCAGCTTAAAATATCAATTATAAATCTGAATTAACACCCATCATGGTTCGCATAATAGAAAGAAAGAAAGATTCAACAAGAATAACCCTAATTGAATCTAGGTTACCGAATTCGCAGAATCAAAGAAGATGACAACTTAGGAATTCTGCATCAGTCTTCGATCTCCTCTCCAATTCGCCTTCAGCAGCCTTGTGATCCTTCTCCTAGCACTTCTCCTCCTCGTTCTTGTGTCAAGGGGTCGAACCCTAATTTCCTCTTTCTTTTTCTTTTATACCTTTCTTTGCAGCCTTTGGATTAGAGTCCTCCTTTCTAATTATGCTAAAGTCAGCCGCCTTTTTGGAGCCTCCAATAGGGCTGTGGTTGGGCCTTTCTCCTTGGTGGGTCGAAGTCCTCCCCTTGGTGTCATATTACCATGTATTATGTTCTCTTAACTCTAAATTGTCCCAAATTCCCAATTTCCTGAAATTCCGCTCAATTAGGGCAAAAACCATTAAGAATCATCATCAAAACCATGTATAAAGCAATAAAAATAATGTGTAGCATGGGCACACATCAAACACCCCCACACTTAAGCTTTTGCTTGTCTTCAAGCAAAGATAATACTCTTAAACTGATCATTCCCCAGATTATTTCCCTCTATCACATGAATTATAGGATGAGAATGCGTTAAGTGATCGGAAATCTTACATAAGCATTCTGATTCATCCCCACGATTGGCCACTCTTACCACATACATAAGAGCAAAGGAAGGGGAGAACATGAGATTCGTCATACTCCAGCACTCAATTTCGTTCAATATATATAGCAGCTCCTTGACCGCCATAATTAACCATCACCCCGAGCTTGGTCTCCAATCCTGTCAATGCACTAAAAAAAATGGGAATCGCATGACGTGGTAATTGCATTCCTTATTTTGCAGAATAAGGTGGGATGAGTGATCCATCATATGGACGCCCAAATCTTGCGGAATAAGGTAGGCGAATTTCAAAAAATTTCTCTCCCTTCAACTGGGAATCGCATTCCCTATTTTAGAAAATCATATTTTCAAGGATCAATCTTGAACCATAAACTGAACCAGATCTGAACAAAAACAGTAGGAGAGGATTATACCTGATACGGACAAATAATATCTCCCAACGAAGGTGTTCACGCCCAATGAAGGATCCAAAGACTACTCCCACTGAAAATGGTGCAGTGTAGGATGGAACAGAATCAGCAATGTTCTCTCCAAGAACATAATCCTTCGTGATGAGAGATGATTTGACCCAACCTACGAAACGGTGACACGTAGGCACTAACTTAGCATGAGCGACAGCCTAGCACTGAAGCCCGGAGTGACCAAGTGACGGGCCCACGAAGCAGTCCGCTACGTTACAGCTCACGAGGGGAGGAGTCCGCTACAAGACGAACTCCGGGTTCCCCGTGCTATCTTGGAAGAGATACCTCGAGGCAACTATAGCTCGCGAGCTAAAGTTATTAGCTCGCTCGAGCTTCCTAACAGAAGTCATTCCGAGGACCAACTTCACTAAGGTAATCCTGGAGTATCCCAAGCTCACTACGAGAGAGCTCGCGAACGAGCCGCGCTAGCACCCTCCAGGAAGCTTCCGACTGACAGACCGTACCGGTCAAACTGTGCCATATCCTCTACTGACGGCGCAGTCCCAGTCCTTCCGACAGTCTGCATCCGCGTCTCTCAACAGGCAAAGGCGTGCCTGCCACTTTGGAAACGTGTCACTCACTCGAGCGAAGCGTACACCACAACGGCCACCTGCGCAGCCCTGGCAGGTAACGGTTGTGGCAGGAGCCCAGTGGCGGTTATGCCCGACCTAATGTGAGTGTCCCTATAAAAGACCTCAGGGCAGAAGGGAAACTTCTTCTACAAAATCTTCGACCTCCTGAACATAGTGATAACGCACTATCCTCACTCTTAGCCTTCGTTCTCCTTTCCCCTCTTGCACACAGTACTAACTTAAGAATCGGAGCGTTCCCGTCGGGAAACCCCTCGGGAGTTCTTCCTTTTTTCTCACATCTCAGGTACCTCTCAGGAGCCACGTGACCGCCAGCTAGGAGTGACCGGACCGTGCTACATCATTTGGCACCGTCTGTGGGAAACGCTTCAAAAAGCCTTTCTCTCTAAACTCTTTCAGTTCTTTCCCTCCTCGAAACAATCCAACGCTCATGGCTTCCTCTAGCAACGTCAGACGAAGCACGGAAATGGATAACTCCAGGGAACGACCCCAGCATCCTACTGTCTGTATCGGACAATTCACCGTCCCCCTCTCGGCGGACGAAATCCCCAGCTTGAATGTGCCCCTCACAATGGCACCTGTCATCGCCCCACTCCCTGCTACAGTCGGAACGACGTTCACCGAACCTTCGGTCGTGC